GGAGGGTGCCTGGGGACAAGAGCGAGGCGGACTGCGGGTCAGGACTGGGTGGGTTTCTTCTTTTATTTTTCATAGGACGACAGAATTTGAGACAGAAATGCCTACAGCTAAGACGTGGGCAGATCCTGGTTTGTGGAGCCCAAATAGCATAAAATGCGCGGGTCTCTCTTTTAGAGAAAACAATTACAAATACAATTGGTTTTAAGCTACTGCTGTCAAAATATCTCTTAGGCAACTTTTACAAAAAAGCCTATGACCATGTGAACACATTACTAGAGCCCCCGACCTTATCAGAGCACAAGAGGCCTGTGTAAGTGAGGAATCCTGACGCTTAAATTTCATTCACTTCATGTCCATCCAGCCCTGGATGGGATTTCTAATTCCAAGAATGGAATGATAAACTACAAACAGAATAATTAAGTGAGAATCTGAAGATCCTGAAAGAGTCAACAAGGGTAGAAGCGAAAGGTATGCCTGCATCCCAGGAGACAAGGCTGCAGAAGGAAAACATGGATGCCCAAGCACAAGAAGGCAGAAAAGGTGCTGGGCACAGGACCGATTCCCTTGGGGAATGATAGCGGTGTCTGGGAGGGATAGAAGAGGCCTGCCTCCCCTGTCCCTGGGTAGTCCTTAATACTCTGACAGCTCTGTCCCCAGCTTTAAGCCTTTTATCCTGATAATTTTCCATCCCAGATGTTTTCAAGCTTATCAACTTTTCTAAGTATGACATGATTTATTTCTGAGTGTACAATAATTCAGTTATACAATGAATGGAGAGGGATCTATTCTAGAAGAGGTTTATGCATAGAAAGTTCTAAGTTTAGAAAAAGGGACTGAGGCTAGGGGAAATTGGAGTATTTAAACCTTAAGAAGGGTGATGGAGGGTGAAATTCATAATGGAAAAAGAGAAAATGTGAGACCCAAGACCTGGGAGCAGGGAAAGATATAGAAAGAGAAAGGTAAAGAAAGGAAGCCCTAACCCAACACAGGTAAAGTGGAAACGGGAATGCAGACTGCTGGAGCAAGCTCGAGGCAGATGGATGGAGGAAGGAGTTGGGCTTTCACCTCTGCTTCCCCAAAGCCACTGTTTTGTATAGCACCCATCCTTCCCACCGTCCACTCCCAGCCCATTCCCGCACTCATTAGCTGCGTGCAGGCAAGCTGTTCCCCTCACCCTGGCAGTGGGGCTTAGGGCTGCTCCACTGGCCCTGACTACAGATGCTCCGGGAGCCCCCCACCAGATGGAAGTCAGGGTCACACCGAAAATCCACTCGGGCTCCATCCAGGGCTGGGAGGTCCCCACCCGTCAGGAACACCTTCCCATTTTCCAGCATCAAATAGGACTTGGAGCAGATTCGGACTGTGAAGAGACCGGAAAATAGAAAGGCAGACTGGAGGAGGCTCGGCTTTGGGTTTGGGCCCAGGAACATCCTACAGTGCAGGAAATCCCCTGAAGGGGGATTGGCCTGCCCTGGCCAGTTTGGCTCTGTGTTTAGAACATTGCTCTGGGAACTGAAGGGTCCCAGGTTTGATTCTAGTCACAGGCATGCACCTCGATTGCAGGCTCGATCCCAAGCAGGAGGCAACCAGTTGATGTGTCTCTCTCACATCAGTGTTTCTCTCTCCCTTCCACTCTCTCTGAAAAGCAGTGGAAAAAATATCCTCTGGTGAGGATTAAAAAATATAAAAAAAATAAAAAAAGGATTGGCCCTCCCTCAGCCCTCAAGCATCCACACATTCCCACAGGAAAAAGAAGGGAAAGGCAATGCCATGTAGGAGCCCAAGATGGAGCTATAAGCACGTAAAACGGGGTCCCCAGTGGGCGGCTCCGGTCTGGGGGGGTGCCGTGAGGAGACGCACACCCCATTAGCCTTCCTTTCTCGTTCTGGGTGGTTTGTATTCACCCAGGTTAAACTGCACTGGTTCTTGGGCATGCGGTCTCTGCATGAGACACAGAGGTATTCGGAAAGGTGACGAAATCATTTTAGAACGTGTTTGCACATGTGCGGCTGACCGCCCTCGAAGAGAATGGCCGGCAAGTGAATGGCCAGGCGACGCCGTCAGTGGGCAGCGGCCGGGTGGGGCGGCCCGAAGGCTGGGTCAGCGGCGCCGCGTCGGGAGTGCCGACCTGCGGACGGGGACGCGGGGTCGAGGCGGGAAGAGGAGCGGTCCCGGAGAGGGGGCGCCGGGGGGCTACTCACCGCAGCGGCTGGGTGTGTCCATGTCTGTCCAGGAGCCGTTGGCCAGGCACTTGCGGACCTTGGGCCCCACCACCTCGCGCTCCCCGCGGCACACATACTCAATCTCGTAGTCCACGGGCAGGAAGCTGATGGCCTTCACCTGGTCCCGAGTCAGGCCCCGGTACCGGATGCCCCCTTCCCAGGGCGGGTGTATGATCTGGCAACCTGAGGGGAGAGCCCCAAGGAGTAGAAAGGAAGGTGGGAGACGGAAAAGGCAAAGCCTGCAGCCCCGGCCCGGGGGCTGGGGCGTGGCCCGCGGGCCCGCGGGGGACCGAGG